GGTGGTCGAATACAGAAAGTTCATTAGCATCCTCCGCTCGGAGAGGCCAGGTCTCGCAACCGTAAAGCAGAACACCACAAACTGCGGCGATGTACACCCTTCCCTTAAGGGCCAGTCGAATGTCATGGCGGCGCCACAAGCGTCGTAGGTTGGCGAAAGCTGCTCCAGCTTTCGCTACTCGTGATGTGATCTCGTCCCCAACACCACCACCAGCTGCAATCAAGCATCCGAGGTACTTAAAGTTCTCAACTACTTCTAGCTGATCACAGGGTGAGTGCAGGCTCAGGCTCCTGCCAGTCTTGAATCAACACTTGGAAGATGCAAAGCACATACCATATCTGGATACCTCGATCGCCAAGCTGGATTGCCTGTGGGTTGTCACCCAGCAAGGCGATGTCATCAGCATATTCTAAGTCGAGGACTCTGTTCCCTGGAAGGAGTTGGACTCCACCGTTTGCTATACCGGACAAAGCATTCTGTAGAACATCCTCTGACAGTTGAAAAGGAATGGAGAAATAGGGCAGCCTTGTCGAACTCCACTGGAGTTCGACCAAGGGTGGCGAAAGCTGGCCATAAGCCCTCAGGTACTCCATTCCTCAACAAACAGTTCCATAGTGCGGTCCTATCGACAGAGTGGAAGGCCGCGCGAATGTCTAAGAATCCAATGATCTTTGGTCTTTGGTAGGCATGACGGTGCTCTAGCAGCTGTCGGAGGATGAAGATATCTATAAATAATTGCAGTTGTTGTCATGCATGTGTGACATGGAATATACCTAGAGTGTTGCGGTGTATGCAGAAGTCTGAGTTGATTATTTGCCCACATCTATATCTTTTTACTCAAAATGATAAGCGCAGAATCATGTAATGTCAAACCAATCTATAAATTTGTCCAATTGGACACTATAATTCCTAGACTACTGAAGTTCACTGATGTATACGTCGAGAAACGAATGAAGGAGCGAACCAAAGAGAGAACGACTAATGTCGTGAGAGCTCAACTACGATTGTAGTGGTGTGATCTGCAGAGCAGAGAGAGAGAGAAGCGTACAGGTGAGTTGGTGTGCAGAAAGTGGAAGTCAACGTGCCGTGACCAACTGGGTGATATTGATTCGGTAAAACAACAAGGCCCGGATTGGGAAAGGAACATGTGCGAAGAGGGTTGATGCTGTCACTGCACCGACTTTAACAAATATTGATGGGGTCTATGATTCTCAAGCTTGTTTCATAATCACTTAATAGATGAAGCAAGTATTTCAACGTCAGTGCTGTTTTCATCACGGAAAATTCTCTCACCCGAATGGGGTCTGTCACCTTCAGCTGGCCATTTCCTATTCTTTTTTGAAAGACGTTTATATTTAGATAGAGGGGGTCCATGCCTCATAGCAGCTGCCTCACCACTACCATAGATTGAATACTCCTTAATTCTGCGAATAGATACTGCGTCGTAAAATGCTCTATCATCACCAGTCTCTACGGTCATCCATCACCATCGCACTTCGCTTTTCATATGACACACGGACACACCGAAGAGAACGCGAACCAAGTCCGTTGATACTACTTCTGTGGGTCAGAAGAGAAAAGCAGCAATGCTACGGCTAATTGAAAGCCGTTCTGCACATCAGCCAAATAGGCATGTTAACCGGTGTACATAAAAATGGGGTAACGAAAATCTTTCAATTCAAGTTAATTTCTAGTCGGTAAAGATGCGATTCCTGTTGAAACCTAAATGAAACGGGACAGTAATACTTGGGCTTTTTGATATTTAGTATACATGGCGCTTTCAAATGTTATTGTGCTTGAGTAAAATTGATGCAGGCAAAATGATAGCTGTCAAACATGAGTTAGAACTTTATCATTTTTATCGAACAACTGCTGAGGATAATCATCAGGTGACCTAACTGCAAATCACGTTACTAGTAAACATCAAGTCAAAATAAATCAGTTTTGCATCACCATATTTGTCAACTAGCCAATTTCACCCCCAGTACTAACGACTGTTTTAAGTTCGCTAGTCCGAAGAATGATGTTATTTAACCCTAATTCGCTTCCGTAAGGCGTTTTTGCACTGCTGTTCATTCTTATTACCCAACATTAAGTAACGAGAAGCACAAGGATAAACCCCAGTAGATGTGAGAAGAAACTGTTCAGTCATTATAACCGACAGTTTAAGCCATGAGACGGTAAGCGAAATGAGACCCGCTAAGATACGCGTGCCATTTATCTGAACCGCAGTGACACTATCTACCATCCAAGATTGGCAGCGATGACATAATTCAAACCTCAGACATTAAAGTCTAAAGTCTAACCAGTAACTGCACCTTTAACCACGACCGAAACTGCCTTGGGTTTTTTATGCATTTTGCCACAACCGCAATATGCTTTAGTTGACTTGGTTTGTCTTTCACAAGCTTGTGCAGAACATTTTCAATCAATTAATACGGAAGTCTTTCGAGAAAGCGGGATCGGATTTTCTCAGTTCAAGACGCCTTTTACACCGCCAAAACATAAAGTTATCAGTGAGGGGTCGAGTATATATTACAACGGTTGCGCCATTGCTGCTAAATGTCAAGAAGACATTCACATTACCGCTATCCGCGTCAGATTGCACGAGTCTGGTGGGATAACCGGACAAGCAATCGTGAGGTTAATCGCATGACGCACTTTTTTTTAATTACACACCGGTGTGTAATGGACAGCAGACGGGGTGGAACCCCACAGTCACGAAGACATGCTGTTCATTGATGGCAACCGGCAACCTAAGCCCCGGGACTTTGAGTGTCGAAACACATAAGGCCCCGCTAGCTCAGGCGTGGTATAGAACCGGGCGATAGAAAGGCTATCTACCACCAAAGTTGCGTGGCGGTGGCGGGGCTCGAACCTCTGACCACAGGGTCCGAAGCACGCCTTTGACAGCGACTAAACCACTGCGCCACCACCACAACGTGTCAGCTAAGGCATGTTTTCCGCTTGTCGCCCAATAGATTTTCTCATCGAGAGACAGCTAAGGGTAGTCAACATGAAATCTAGTATAACAGTATAAAATCCTAACCAGGCTATTCGGTCACATAGGTCGCAATGCATTTCTTGGTTGGGGACTTCGTGGTCTACGTAATCCATGGTCAGAGACACTGAGTGATATAACTGAGTTCCCCAACCAGTGGCGCTCGTGCATCTATTCACTATCCAAGAAGATCCAACTTTTCCCTTCTGTATATGTATTTTGATAGTGCTCGCAACTCAGTGACAGTTCTATCTACTTTTTCCTCGTCAGTCGATTTATTGGTCGACCGAAAGACAGCAATCAGAACCATGGTACGTCAGTGCAAAGTTAATGATTGTCTAAGCAAACAACTGAAACCTATGGACACAGTTTTCTTCTGGAGCTGATTATTCGACATTATGTAGTTAGGCGGACGGATGAGAATAACTTAGCTGTCCCATTAATTTACCGGGGGACGGTAAATTATCTGAAGGTCATTATAGGGCTTTTCATTGAAATACATCACGAAGTGACGTTGTTATCAGATTCGTTTTTTGTGTTTCTCTTCAAATTTGTATTACCTTTGGTCTTAGGGATTTTATTTGTGTTGTGTTTTCACGCAGGTCTGAATCCAGACTGTGTGCCAAACAGATCGTCGTACAGTAGTCTTTATTAAAAAGAGGAAGTTCCATGATTTGTTTGTGGGCGGAGTACTGCCGGGTTGTCCAGGCCAAGGCAGGTGAATTTGCTTGAGGAATCCACAATCGCAGCCCTCGGCTAGCCATAGCCCGATACGCAAAGCAATGGGACCGTTGTGTAGAAACCGCAATCCCTTGAGGGCTGATGTTCAGTAGATCGAATGACCCTTTGGACGGGGTCAGACGTCCAAGGTGTCCAATACACATAGATGCTTGATCAAGCCGCTGACTACTTCCACAACTGAGGCGTAGTTGAATGTGACCTTTTATGCCTCTTGGTTGATTTTCAATCAGGGTTTTTAACCAAATCCCGTAGTTGAACTACCAGTAGTTCACCGACACGATCATAGCCCCGGATGTTAACTTTTCGTCCCCTCACTTTGGTTTGAAAACATTGCCGCTACGAGAAGGCAGTAATTAGGGCTTCCTCAGCAGAGGCTGTTTGAGACGCTTGGTGGTATAGGAGCATCTCGTGAGGTGCAATGGAAGATTGACCAGCCTCAACCAAAGATACCCTGACTAAACTGAAGCTTTTGGGGATAACCTTATCCTCATTTTCAGATAATGTATTTAAAGTTTCCTGGACCATGACCATCTGGCTTTAACAACGTATGAAAAATGACCGTTGAATGAATACTTCAGTAACATGCAAACTCTGCTTGTGGATCCAAAACCTAGTGTTATGAAACTGTTGATGTGATGGCATCACACGGTGGGGCGAAAAGGTTGAAAGAAAATTGGCAGTGAAGATGAAATGTCGAAGAGGATTCAGGACCGTTTTTTTATGAGGTCAGATTTTCAAAGTTTCATCTGTTTCGTTTTGCACGCCGACGCAGATGAAGGTTGAGCAGTTACTAGTAAACAAGAATTAGAACCTTTTCATAGCAATTATTTGATACTTTTTCAAGGTAAAAGTAAAGTGTTACTCAGAGGTAACAGTTCATGTTTGCGAACACGGGTCTATGATCCAAAGTTATATTAATGTTTTCGCCTGCCCTTCTTGGTATTATGTTTACGTTTGTTTTCTGCGAACTTTAGTATGACTAATTTCTTTGGTATCATTGTTCTCCAGTTGTATACAATCTTGAACCCAGAGCTTACGGATTTTGATTTTCTTTAGTGCCTTTATAACCCATCCGGTCCAACAATAAAAAGAGATGCAAAACTGTAGTACAAATCGGGAGAAAAAATAGCAAGATTAGACACAATACTATACAACTTTTCGCATGATTTCGGTTCAAGTAGGTGGTAAAGCTGAAAAATGCTAAATTTAATTACATCACGGTATTTTGTTCCTATTTGGAACTCGGTTTCCTAATGGTTTGCACTTCAAAATCCATTTCAGGTACGTGAAGGTGGGTGACACTATTCATCAGTTTGACCCCGTATGTGAAGTTCAAAGTGATAAAGCTACGGTCACCATCACTAGTCGTTATGACGGTACCATCCGCGCGCTGCACTTTGAGCCACAGGATATGTGTGCAGTTGGTCAGGCTTTGGTTGATATTGAGCTAGCGGAAGGAGCATCAGATACTCCCAGCCCTGCCGAGCCAGCGCACGCTTCGCCCACAACGGTTGAAGCCCGTACGCCGGAACCGGATCATACATCACATTCCGAAGCTTTTGGAAAGGCATTGGCCACTCCGGCCGTTCGTCGTCTTGCAGTAGAGAACAAGGTCGGTGTCCCATCTTTTGGAGATTTAAATTATTGTGTATCCAATAGTTTAAATCAGGTACATTTCAAAAATGTCAATTTTTTGGGCTAAAACAGTTTTGATAAAATCTCTTAAGATTCCAGATATATTGGCAACTGGAAATTTCACCAAGAGAAGGTAAACGGATGATTCTCACTAGATAACTGTTTAGATGATGTGCCAGTGTTCTAACAAACGATGTCTGCTAGACGTAGATCACTTGACAATTAGTTTTTCGTTCGCTTTCTAACTGTGATAAAGTCTTGTAATCTGTTGATTTCTGACGACATTCTTTTTTTATCGCTTTCTCTCTAGCGTAAATTATAAATCCGTTTTTAGCTGTTAACGTTGTTGTTATTAAATTCGATCAGTAATATTGTTTATTAGGCGCTCTTGATTTCACCTTGATCAACTACTTATGTTCGATTAAAATCCATCTCACCACATGCAACCCGAATATTGCAGACAGACTAAATGTAAATGAAAACAATTTCGCTGAGATCCATCTTCACTGTGTTTCAAGTTTGAGTTGAATATCTTTAAATGATTAATTTTGACGTGTACAGATCGAATGAAGCGTGAACTGAAAAGCTGGTAGGCTGTTTCGACCTGATCAAACCCTCCAAGTCTCAAGTATCATACAATCAATTTGAAATATTGCCAACCGAGTCATAACCTTGGAGTCTCGTGCTGAAATGCGCAAGTTAAGCTCACAAAGATAGGTTGTGCTATATCGTGTATGATTAAAATGGAAAAAAACGGTTTGACCAGTTTCCCAGTGCCTGAGTGCGTAGTATGCTTACATTTTACCTGTGTGATTCCGAGTATGGTCGATAAATTTCCACTGCTGATGAAAACCAACCAGGTCGAAACAGCTGTATAGTTCTTCCTAGCATTTTATTACACGCCTCATTTGCTCTGTACACGACGAAATTTACCATATGATCAAACCAAATCCTCCATTTATCTCAGTTGTCTCTGAATTTATTTCTCAAATGTCGGTTACATAACTCTCTCTCTTTCTCTCTCTCTCTCTCTCTCTC